CTTATTGAGTATGAATCAAATTGTGACTTTCTTTCTTACGTTATGGATTTTTTTATATGAAGCTAAATGACCCCATTCGCTGTCAAAAGCGATGGAAAATATCGATGAAAGCGGCATTCAAAAAATCGTCGAAAGATTTTTTTCTAAATGAAGTCACTAAAAGATGTATCTTTTACGAATATTCTTCTTTAATTTCATATGCATTGATGGGTCTTAAGGCAGTAAAATAGAAATAAGTATGCTCACGACTATTTTCGCTCACGGCTGCTTGTTGATTATTCACGCTTGATTTCCGTGTTATTCCTTGTTGCGCACTGTTACGGCTGGCCGCACCGCTTACACTTTGCTGAGCTCTGTACAAAGTCTTTGCCGAGCTCTGTACAAAGTCTTGTAACGCCAGCAAAGCGTAAGCGTGGCTAAGTGTGCCAGACCAAAACTACCCACAGCCTCCTTAATAAGTTTTTTAAAAGCACACAGAAACATTGGAAGGGGTTCATCTTTATTTTTTTAAATTATGAATAATACGTGTGCAACAAATTAGTTTTAATTCTTGGTAGCACATCGTCCGTGTGCTAAGATCTTGCCATAAATGTACCATTGAAAGCTCCCTGCCTGGCGTCCTACGGTTAAAGGGCGCCGAATGTCTATTGGGCGCGGCTTTTAAATCGAACTAACTCTCTACTCGATCACAAAATCCTATATTTACTCTCCCTGGACGCCCCATAATGTATTGCGATTCAAAATTTAAAGTTGGCCGTCGTATCGTCGAAGTAGACATTATTACCACCCAATAATACTCGCTGATAAATAGTTCATGTTTGGATATCCTTTGAATTTCAGCTGTGAACGACACTTGAAAAAACAATGGCAAGAATGCTACCTCGTTCCAAGAAAACGATATTCATTTTCTTACTTATTGGCAGTAGTAGTTTTTATGTGTATCAGCAATTTGGAGGACAGAACAGCACTAAAAAAGAGCGAAGCCCTGGTATTCAACAGGACACATCAGGCCAAGAAGAATCGTTAGGAATGTCTTCTGTGAAAAATGGCCGGGGATATGTTGGTGATAAACATGGGATGAAGTGGGGTCCAGTATTAAGGAAAGGTGCTCATTTTGAAATGGATAGAAGTAATCTTGATGGGCGAAATAAGGCGGTTCCAGTTAAATTGGACTCTATAAATAACCAGGCAAAGAAACTGAAAGCAAAATATACTGGAGGAAAGAATGTAGCTGAAAAACGAACCCATCGAAACAGAAATGATGAATTCCGAAAAACCAAGCCTAACAGAGTTAATAGAGGGAGAAAACAATTTAATAGATATAGTAACGAGAAGAAACGTTCCCCACGTAGAGGAAGGGAGGGGCGAAAATACCAGAAAAATCAACCTAACGGGGGAACTGACGGTAAGAATCTCCCGGGTAGGGAGAGAGGTGATGTAACGAATTATAGCGGGGAAACCCATGACAAAAGCCGGATACATATACAATACGGAGAAGTAAATACGAGGAAAGTTAAACCAGTAAAACCTATCAATGATTTACAACAGGACTYTAAAATAGAAAACAAACAACAGAATAAAAAATTGTGCAACATTACATTCGAGTACGGCCAAATGTGTCCGACTCTGTACACGGATCTCGGCGGATACTGCAAGATAGACAAGAAAGTACCGGGAGGATTTGACTGCCCTGATATTCGTAGAAAAGGATATAATGAACTACGAAGCACTCAGCTCGTCCTCACGAGACTTCTAAAGATATTTGACCTGGTTGCTAGGAAACATGGCATCAAATATTGGATTACATCCGGGACTTTGTTAGGTGCTGCAAGACATCGAGGCTTTATACCATGGGACGAAGATGCTGACATTGAGATGACACTGGATGAGTACATCAAACTCTTCAAATGTTGCAAAAATGAATTCCCAGAAGGAATATTTTTTCAGAGCTCGGAGACAGATCCTTATTTAAAATCACAGAATGAGACGGAAAATCGCCTTTTGAGACACCCAGTGGTTGGGCTTTATCGACGACTATGGAACCCAAGGCTAAGAGACACGAAGAGTTGTACAAAGTTTTG